GTTATATGTCTAGTTTTAATATTATAAATGGGAATATTTAAAGATATGCTCAAAACTCTAGTAGATGCTCTTCTATGAGTCCTTCGCATGAACTTGCTACTAAAGTTTCATGAGAACAAAGGAACTAACTATGGTGATTGACAATTTCTATCTCTGTATTGTTTAAAATACTTACTGTTGACTGTTGATATGTTTCTTATATGAATTGCATAATAATTCCGCTAAATACAAATTCCTGATTTCTGCCCTCTCTGGGTTTTGTTTGGATTCTTGTAATTCGGTCATCTCGAAATACTAATATTCCTATTGCAATAAATTACTACAAATTGGCGTCGCGATAGAACAAAATAACCTGGGAAAACTTCATATAAATGCTACTCCGAGAGAGATTGCTGATTATTTGGAATGCTTCGATGCGTGGTGCATTTCAAAGAATGTTCGGGATGACAAAATACCAGCACATTTCATTACTAGTATTGGACCAGATGCGTATAGCCTGGTGAAGAATCTGGCGTTTCCAGATAAACCCATTTCTATGCCATATGCTAAGCTCCGTGAACTTCTTATAGATCACTTCCATGTAACTACTTTTGAGACCAGAGAGAGGGCTCAGTTCAACAAACTGGTACGTTCTCCCAATCAGAAGATAAGAGACTTTATACTACAACTCCAAATTCAAGCCTCAAAGTGTAATTTTGGAGATCAGCTGCATACTCAACTACGTGATCGTCTAATTGCTGGAATCAACATTCCTAAATTAGAGAAAGAGTTAATTCAGATTCCTTCTTGTACGTTTCAAACTGCTAAAGATGTATGTATTACATATGAAGATGTCAATAATGAATACTCTGCTCCCACTACGTCAATGTCTGATGTTATGCTTTCTAAAGTCGAAAATACAAGTGGTAATGGAAAGCAATCCAAACTGCCGTCCACAGGTAATAGAATGCAGCGAGAGATCAAAAACATTAAACCGTGTTTTTCCTGTGGAAAGTTACATCTACGAAGCACTTGCCGTTTTCGGGGTGCTAAGTGTCACAAATGTGGTAAAGTTGGACACATCAAGACGGTTTGCAGGAGTTCGAGTACTTATGTTGCTCAACATTCTTATAATTCTCCCAAGCTGTCTAGTAAAATGGAGTCTATGTGTCTTTCAACCTTCCAAAATACTCAAGCTAATCCAATGAAAACCTCCACTAAAATTTCGGCAACTCAAGTGTCAACTGTAATCAAAAATGAGGTAGCTGAGTTGCAATGTGAACTGTCGAAAGCACGAAAAGACCTGAATGAGATGAGAGAGCAACTGAATAAAATTGAGGAATTACTGCATATGCATAGACTACGTCTGGTGAATCCAGAGCATACAAGTACCCGTGAAAGTCCTGCAAAACTATTCAAATCTCGAATTCTCAAAAAGCATCTGATGTCCACTACTTCTAATGTACATTATTACAAAGATAATAACTACAGACCTTCTGTTGGAATTATACTACAAAAAATGGGAAATCGAGTGGTGAAGATATTAGACATCAAAGATCACTCAGTTCATAACGGACACCTGGACAAAGTGACAATAAATGAAGTAGGTCGTTCCAATTATAATATTATTGATTCCGCTAATAATCCTGATTTTGTAGATAATTCAGAAATAAGTCCAGATAATACTGATGAAAATAATATCACAGAATCAGTTAGAAGGTCGCAGCTACTTGCAAGCAAACCGAGACATCGTTATAAATACGCAAGGAGATATTCGACGTGTGGCGGATGTGGTGATTGACAATTTCTATCTCTGTATTGTTTAAAATACTTACTGTTGACTGTTGATATGTTTCTTATATGAATTGCATTCTAATTCCGCTAAATACAAATTCCTGATTGCTGCCCTCTCTGTGTTTTGTGTGGATTCTTGTAATTCGGTCATCTCGAAATACTAATATTCCTATTACAATAAATTACTACACTAACGTATCTATATGACCTGTCTATGTAATTTACCTGTTGATCTTTTCTTTCTTCTCATCCTTTTTTTCACTAAATTGGTAAAATATTGTTATGGTGAATTTCGTGATATCATCGAGGCCTTTTCCCCTTCTTCTTGAAATTTTATGCCAATTTCTCTGATATCATTGTTCCCTTAGGTTCTGCGTGGAACATAGAGCTTCAAAAGCACATGCCTACTTCTTCCTCTTCCACGTAGGCTATTTCAACTGGCTGCACGATTACTTAGAAGGTTTGGTCTCGTTAACATGTAATCTCTCGCATGTCACCGTCACATTAATGCCCAGCTTTTTATTTCCCATTCGAGTTCTACTCGATACCTTACCTTTCATCTAATGTCACTCGGCTGTCCACTCAATATGAGTCCATCCACCTCTATTTCATTTTAGATATTTGTTGAACGACAAGTTTTCAGTTGGTTCGTGAAGAGAGTTCCTTGCTTTTTATTACTTCTGACGTCCTTATCTTCAACATAGAGCCAAGGCAGTTGTTGACAAGAGTCTTCAAAAGCTATTTAAAGATGCTTTGTCTTAACGCATGCGCTGTCTCTGAGCTATATAGAAACATTTACTACGCACTAGTGTTAACAGAGCTACATAATTTATTTACACTGATGTATTGTAGTAATTTATTGTACTTGAAGTATTAATATACCGGGATGACCGAATTACAAGAATCCAAACAAAACCCAGAGAGGGCAGAAATCAGGAATTTGTATTTAGCGGAATTAGAATGCAATTCATATAAGAAACATATCAACAGTCAACAGTAAGTATTTTGAACAATACAGAGATAGAAATTGTCAATCACCACATCCGCCACACCTCGAATATCTCCTTGCGTATTTATAACGATGTCTCGGTTTGCTTGCAAGTAGCTGCGACCTTCTAACTGATTCTGTGATATTATTTTCATCAGTATTATCTGGACTTATTTCTGAATTATCTACAAAATCAGGATTATTAGCGGAATCAATAATATTATAATTGGAACGACCTACTTCATTTATTGTCACTTTGTCCAGGTGTCCGTTATGAACTGAGTGATCTTTGATGTCTAATATCTTCACCACTCGATTTCCCATTTTTTGTAGTATAATTCCAACAGAAGGTCTGTAGTTATTATCTTTGTAATAATGTACATTAGAAGTAGTGGACATCAGATGCTTTTTGAGAATTCGAGATTTGAATAGTTTTGCAGGACTTTCACGAGTACTTGTATGCTCTGGATTCACCAGACGTAGTCTATGCATATGCAGTAATTCCTCAATTTTATTCAGTTGCTCTCTCATCTCATTCAGGTCTTTTCGTGCTTTCGACAGTTCACATTGCAACTTAGCTACCTCATTTTTGAATACAGTTGACACTTGCGTTGCTGAACTTGCAGTGGAGGTTTTCGTTGGATTAGCTTGAGTATTTTGAAAAGTTGAAAGACACATAGACTCCATTTTACTAGACAGCTTGGGAGAATTATAAGAATGTTGAGCAACATAAGTACTCGAACTCCTGCAAACCGTCTTGATGTGTCCAACTTTACCACATTTATGACACTTAGCACCCCGAAAACGGCAAGTGCTTCGTAGATGTAACTTTCCACAGGAAAAACACGGTTTAATGTTTTTGATCTCTCGCTGCATTCTATTACCTGTGGACGGCAGTTTGGATTGCTTTCCATTACCACTTGTATTTTCGACTTTAGAAAGCATAACATCAGACATTGACGTAGTGGGAGCAGAGTATTCATTATTGACATCTTCATATGTAATGCATACATCTTTAGCAGTTTGAAACGTACAAGAGGGAATCTGAATTAACTCTTTCTCTAATTTAGGAATGTTGATTCCAGCAATTAGACGATCACGTAGTTGTGTATGCAGCTGATCTCCAAAATTACACTTTGAGGCTTGAATTTGGAGTTGTAGTATAAAGTCTCTTATCTTCTGATTGGGAGAACGTACCAGTTTGTTGAACTGAGCCCTCTCTCTGGTCTCAAAAGTAGTTACATGGAAGTGATCTATAAGAAGTTCACGGAGCTTAGCATATGGCATAGAAATGGGTTTATCTGGAAACGCCAGATTCTTCACCAGGCTATATGCATCAAGACCAATAGCGGTGATGAAATGAGCAGGTATTTTATCATCCCGAACATTCTTGGAAATGCACCACGCATCAAAGCATTCCAAATAATCAGCAATCTCCCGCGGAGAACCATTAAGAGGAAATTTTCCCAGGTTACTTAGCTCCATCGCGACGCCAATTTGTAGTAATTTATTGTACTTGAAGTATTAATATTCCGGGATGACGGAATTATAGGAATCTAATCAAAACCCAGAGAGGGCAGCAATCAGTAATTTGTATTTAGCGGAATTAGAATGCAATTCATATAAGAAACATATCAACAGTCAACAGTAAGTATTTAAACAATACAGAGATAGAAATTGTCAATCACCACATGTATTAATAGTTCACTTGCCATTTTGGAGGTACTAGTTCCATCGTTTTTGGTTATGCTCTTTTACATATCTCTTATTCATTCCTCTTCATTATGCATTTCTTGTGAATACCAACAGAAGAATTCATTCCGCATTGATGTAGATGTCTAAGTCCTCAGTTGTTTATCCAGCATGATATTTAAGTGCATTTTGATAACCAGCCAGATAGAATGGTAGCCATATTTAGAACTTGACTAAAGGCCCTAGATGAATGCCATTATAGTTATTATCTAGTGTCCAATGAAAATATCTTATTTGAATGAAATATTCCCATAGTGAGTCATAAGAAAATGACATAAATAACGAAAAGAACTTTTCTTTTCGATGATTGATTTTTATAAGCTGTACAACTGTAATTATATTTAACAAAGAATTCATAAGACAACCAATCAGATGCTGGTAAAATTTGTCCTCGAAAAACGTAATGATTAATGTAAGATGTAACCTAGACGGACGGGGTGACTAATTGGAAATTAGATAAGTGGGCAGAATTTGGGATAACTTAATAAGTTTGAGAAAATGACTAACCAATATGATTGTGTAGAGTGGACAGGAACTAGTGGAAAGATAATAAAATGTTTCTATAAAATCTGTATGAAAAGGCAATCTGATTTCATAAGAAAATTTAATATCAAGCATTTAATGTTTATAGGTCTTTCAACTTCACAAACCAATTCCTACGCCCAATGTGATGCGTGTCTATTTGCATCTTAAAATGAAATCAAAATACAGTTCAAGACACTCAGTGGATATTAACTCCTACTTTTACTTTATTTTTCTTACAATTACTTAATGGGTGAAGTTTGTTGACCATTTTTATTTAATTTTCAAGTATTGGTTTTGTTGGGATTTTGTTTGATTGCATGGAGGATTTCATCATGATGTCAGCTCATGGTGAAATTCTGGATTATTTTAATACTGTCAAAATCAATTTTGTGGCCTGATTCTATAGCGTGTAGACCTACAGGTGATGACTTTTCAAGCTTTTCTGGTTGACTAACTGGATTTCTCGGTGGTCAAACAGATGCTCTACAGTGTTCGTTTCTACTGATTTTGATTTACTGTGATGTTTGCCCGATGTATATCACAACACATACAGAGCATTTTATTTTGTAGACACAATTAGATAGAGAATCCTTAGGGATTCGGTCTTTTATATGGACAAGGTTGCTTTGTAATGTGTGTGTTTGATGCTTTGAAGAAAACTGTGATGTTGTGCTTACTGAGTATTCTTATGATATCGTCTGACGTCTCTTATCTATACGGAATGACAACTTTTGAGGCCCATGTCTTCGGAATGCATCTTCAAGCATACTTAATGTCAGTGTTGATTTTGTCGATGAAATCCTTTGGGTAGTTATTTTGCATGAGAGTCTCAGTAATGCTTGATATTTCTTCCTCTTTTTCTTTCTCATCCGTTATCATAGAGTGTGCTCGTCTAAGAAGACTTGAAACAACTGAAATCTTTGCGCTGATGGGGTGTGGTTATTTGAAGTCTAAATACTTACTGGAGCGAGTTTTCTTCCTGAATATGGATATACTAAAATGTCCGTTTTCCCTTCTGTTAACTAGGCAGTCTAGAAACGGTAGTTCACCGACGTCTGATTCTACCGGGAGATAGATTGTTCAGTTTCTCCAAGAATGAGCTATGTAGAGCTTGTTTTGGCACAACAAAAGTATCATCTACATATCTTGTTGTATATTGTAAAATTAACCGTCGTCTGTTTTCGCTGACTTGGAGTCGAAAAGGGAGCCCACTTTGACCAATGTAGTATTTATCACACTTTATGCAATTTATTTTATGAATGGTATTAAAATTAACCGTTATTCAACCTGAATAAACAGACATTATATATGAAAATCAAAATGGTAATATTAATGACGATAATAATATCTTTTTTATTTATCTTTACACAAAACTAACACTTTAGAGAAAGATTGCTGAAATGCAAGTTGAATGTCTTCTACAAGTTCAGTTACCATGGAATGTTGGTGTCATTGCTGAACAAGCTAAACGTCTTGAACAAGATGCTTTAGATGTAAGTTTAATTACTGTTTGTTTAAATATCTTTCATATTTCGTTTTTTTGAATTATTGATTACATTTCGTTGAAAAATTCTGATTTCTATAATGATCAGGATATACCATTGATGAGCTTGGTCTCCTAGGAATAAAAACCACAGTACTTCCATTGGGTTAGAAGGTGCTACTGCTTGAGGTGAATAGTTTTCAAATATTTATTTTGGTTAGTAGTATATACCAGTTGTCTGTCTAGTTTGTTTTTCTTTACTTATTGTAGTAACACACGTGATATTCTAAAGAAACCGTGTAATTTGCGAATAGTGTATTGAGTTCTGTAGGTCTACATAAACGATGAACTCCCGTTTCATCTCATTTTGATTTGCCTCAGTAGTTTCCATTCACAGGTTTTACAGTAAACACGTTGTTTTTGAAATCGGATGAATCAGATTTCTACAGCTTTCAGAAGTTCACAATATAGTGTGATCAATAATCAATGTCATGCACGAATATCGATGTACACATTTTATTATTATCATTATTACTGTTTTCTTCCATAGTCGGTTTGTAAGGATGAGTTTTGTTTTTACGAGTTGATCACGGATTGAAATCAGTTAAAGAACCATTGAAAACCAGGGAGTACTGGACAGCAATTTCTTCCTAGTTTTGAGAATCACCAGTAAATGATCAACTCGTGAAAACAAAACTAATCCTAACAAACCAACTATAGAAAATTAATCTGATGCTCGCTAATGACTTGCTACAGCAAGGTGTTTCCTGGAGTTCTGGTGAGAAGTCGTGACCAGTGAGGTTCATCCAGTCAAGTGCGAGGATGGATGTCCAACCGACGACATTGGTTGCGATCGCGCTTAATCACAAATCGGTAGAAGTTAGAATCGAGTCCCAGTGGCTGAATGGTATACGAACTAGCCTTGTAACCGGAAGGTCCTGAGTTCAAACTCCGTGGTGCGGGTGCGTACTGCCGATGATTCCCAAAACTAGGAGTAGACAGCTGTCCAGTACTCCCTACAGGTTTTCAATGGTTCTTTAACTGATATTATTACTTGTATACAATTGGTGGATGGTGGCTAGCAGTGGAATCCAGGATGCGCATTTCGTCCTAATTGGGACTCGTCAGCTGGATGTACCTGCATTTCTCAGTGAGTGATGATGTTCCCACCGAGGCTCGAACCCAGTGCCCATAGTTTCAAACGCCAAAGCGTTATCCACTAGACCACTTGGGCCACGAGAGCCACCTCTTGTGCAACGGGTCATATATTAATTATTGAATTGAATTTTTGATTTTCCCGTCGATTGATTGGACCGAAGTGTTCGGTCTCAGGTTGACATGTCGGCTTCTTGTGCAGATGCTTCGACGATGTCTGGGGATTTGATTTGTATACAATTGGTGGATGGTGGCTAGGATTCCACTGCTAGCCACCATCCACCAATTGTATACAAATCAAATCCCCAGACATCGTCGAAGCATCTGCACAAGAAGCCGACATGTCAACCTGAGACCGAACACTTCGGTCCAATCAATCGACGGGAAAATCAAAAATTCAATTCAATAATTGATATTATTACTGTTCCTTTGGGTTGTGAGTGAAACGAAGGGCTTCAACATGACATCTTCTCATTTCGTTGGTAACTTGAATGACCTTCCCATCTTCATACATTGTACGACTATTTCACGCCTCCATGCTTATTTCCGCTTTCATTAATAGAAGACAAATAAGCTGACTGACTCCTCAAAGGCTTTCGCCAGCCCGCATCATTTTGTCTCTCCGATTCCAGCGACAAATAAATTTGTGTTTTTTTTATTTTTCGTATTTTTCTTCTCCATCGTAGCGACTGAAATGTTTTTTTTGGATAAAGTCGCTAGCCCCACACCTAATCTTCCATCTGTTCCCAGGCTTGGAATCGACTAGAAAATTAACTAATTAGTAAACTAGGCGAGCTTGTACACATTTTAGTTTATCACTTTTCTATACAACAACAACGCAGGGCCTTATGTTAATTTGTCTGTTTGCTAAAAGTCAATGAATGTGGGGTGATTTTTGGTTTCTGTGATATACTTTGAGATTATTTCAGAAGTTTTTGAAGTTCACTGATGAGGTGATACATTTCACTGTTTAAAAAGATTATCTTTTCCTCTGACTATGTTGTGTTTTCTTGATATTTTACATTTCTTTTCCTCTTCGTCTCAACAGCTTCAGTTATAATGTTTTACAGTGTATGCCTTTCATTCAGGCACCCTTCTAATGCTACTGAAGTTTCCATTTATTATTGCTAATATTATCTCTTTTCATTTATGCGTTTTGCGTTAGATGAGATAGTTGTCTTCCTAGACACCATCTTCAGAGCAAACTTCAATACGAAATTCTCCATGAATGATACAATTTCATCTCCTAACCACCTTCGTTCTGGTTATTTGTTAATTTGCATCAGCATTGACTGTGAGCTATACCTTTTGTCGTGTAACTTATTCTTTATTAGTCGATACATATGATCTGTTTCAGTGTATCTGCTGATCTCTGATTCATCTAAACACTGAACTTCTTTCTTGGAAATCCTTGGCATTTTTGGTGTTTCCAGTATTCAACATTTATACATTTTCCTAGTCAAACTAGTGTCAATAGTTGTCTGTATGCATTGGTGTGAAAGAATACATGTAGTCTCTATTCATTGACATGGAGTCGAAAGCAGAGCCCACTTTGACAAATGTAGTATTTATCGCACTTTATGCAATTTATTTTATAAATGGTATTAATCTTATCTTGTTTCGATATGGAATTTTTTGGTTTATACAATAGTGAATTGAAGTAATTTATTGTACTTGGAATATTAGTATTTCGAGATAACTGAATTACAAGAATCCAAACAAAACACCGAGAGGGCAGAACTCAGGAATTTGTATTTAGCGGAATTATGATGCAATTCATATAAGAAATATATTAACAATCAACAGTAAGTATTTAAACAATACAAAGATAGAAATTTTCAATCACCACATGAATGCAGTGATTGTGTTGTCTTCTATACTTTGTTTATTTCAAATAATCTGAGTATTCTAGCTGATATTTCAGAGATTGTCTTTATATGTGCTGGAATGAATTTTCTTGGAGTCTTTGAGGATGATATTTCGATTCGAGTTTAAGTCGTTTTTGATGAAACTGTATAGGTGTTCATTCTTCTTGAAGACAGTTTAATAGATGCTTCTCTTCAACACTGAAGTACTACAGTATGTTTAACCCACTTTAAACAATGTTTGCACAAAAATTTCCTATGAGTCATTGGGTTATTGCTATTTTGGTTGGGTATTTGGTCTGGACGTGTGTGTGTTGATTTAATCTGTTACTTTCAATGTAGCTTTATTCACGAACCAACATCAGTTAGAGAATCACTGAAAACTAGAAACGGTGACTGTGTTTCATCCTAGTTCGGGACCCCTCAACATAGCTCATCAACAAGCTCAGCCTTCAAGTTACAGGGCCACTTCTTTAACTTTTTAACCAATACGGCCAAAAATCAATGGCTCCTGAATTCTAACTTTGTCAATTGATGGTACACGGGTACTAGTATCCAAAGTCTCGTGTTTCATCCTCGGTGGAGTCGTGGGAAGAAGTAGTTGTTCAGTGCTCCCTAGTTTTCATTGTTTCATACAAAGATAGAAGCTGTCAATCACCATACTAGGTTATGTAACAAATTAGGATTTCAATTAACCGAATTAATTACATTTTACTTAAGTCTGGAGAATACTGTTTGTTTACTAAGTCTCCTTTTGCTTATTTTTCCATTTAACTCGCCTATCAATAACCCCTAAGACTGCACGTAGAATAGCCGCTGAAGAAGCTCGTAGGGCAGCTCTAGAAAGAGCTCGTATCAAATCAGCCACAGACACAGCAACACGTAAATCAACTGACAGAATTCGCAATGAAGAAACGGAATTAATCATTGGTAATGCAATTAGCATTATGGAGAACACTGCGTTTAAAAAATATGAACAAGCAGAAAAAGCCAGAAAACGTGCAGAAGAAAAAGCCAGACGACGAGCTTTAGAAGAAGATGAAGAAGGAGAAAGCCAATCCGGTCGGGAGGAAGAAGAAGATGAGGAAGACGATGATGAAGACGACTGACGTGAATAGTTCAATAAACTTGTCATGGAAATAAAAGAAGACAATAAGCAGAATACTTTCACTGTAAAACATTTAAAAATAAAATGATTTCATAGATCAACTAGGTTAAATGTTATACGTCTACACAGACAGCATTTAAAAATACACATTTACGTATACATGAGTATATATGTATAGGCAACAGTGAATATTTTTTCTTCATTATAGCTTGATTCCACACAACATTTTTGGTACAGGTATGGAATTTTCAGCGTGTGATATCGGTAGCCCAAATTTCGCAAGCCGACGATTGATATCAGGTGTGCGGCGGCAGGGGATTGAATCCTAGACCATGTACATGGTCGGCGAGAGTCCTAACGGCTGTGCCACCGTCGACTATAGATTACAAATCTAACGAACTGATACTTATTACCAGCTTGTACGTTTAGTGATAAGTTGATTTAAGTTCATGTTCAATTTTAAAGGAGATGCGTATGTACTACAATAGCTGAAAAAAGCTGGTATCCTTGAAAAGGTTAATGAAAACAGATAAAGTTGTTGACGTGTTTAACAGAACTATAACATAGTCATGTATTGCAAGTCAATTGGAGAAAAAAATAACAACCTTATTACTTTACATGACTTGGTAAAAAAAGAAAGCATTGGTTAATTTGAATGAAAACGAAAACGTAGATCAATAGTGCCACTGATATGTAATGCCGTAGATGGTTTATTTCTTGATCATATCCATCAGTCTTCTTACATGGAATTGTTCATCATTATTTTGTGTTACATTTGTGAACAGACAGCGGATTAATAGTGACCTGTAAAAAAACCATAATCAATCCTGTACTGAAGACTATTTGATGGTGTGTGCATGGTAGCACACGTTATATTGTCCCATAGACTAACCCGGAAACGCAGCATCCGATGTCTTCCTTCTTTAAAGTTACTCGTATACCAAGTAGTACCAGTACGGGTTCGACGGACCAGTCGATTTTGGTCAGAGAGGCAGCAAGCGCAGTTTTATGTGGCCGATGATACCGTTGAACCAACGCATTAGAAATAGGGTGATGAAGATTCAGCTCTATCAGATATGTTAGTTGGGGTGTGGTGGACATTTTACTCGGTTAGCGTAGTATCCCAACTTCAAATAAAAAATAAAATACCAAATCAGTTTAGTTACGGGAAGAATATATTAAAGTTTCGTTACTTGGGTTTACAAAGATCCAAAATCCACAATAAACGTAAAAGACTCCAGAGATACTGCGGGAAAACTGCTCCGATACTATTTCTCCAATGTTGACGTTGCCGGAGGTCGACCAAAGTACGTAGGAAGAAACTACGGTGCTCCTGCAAAAATTTGAGATAGAAAGCGGGTGGTTAGAATTGATCGACGGCAGTTGAGATGGTGGAGAGGACGGAGAGTCGAAGGCAGAACTATATATTTATTCAAAACCCGAGGTAAAGTTCAAAGTACAGGGCTTATGGTTAAAACAAAGTAATGTACAATATGTTCATTTCTTACATAGTGGTAAAAGTTGGATAAGTTTATTTTTGAGGACTCCACAGGGGATAGAAGGCTTGCAGACCATGTTAATCCCTTTCTTGTAAATTTCCATGCTTGCCCAAACCCTTCTTGAATGAATCAGTTGAGGTTACGGACACCACTCCTTCTGGGAATCGGTCCCAGGAGTTTATGACTCGGTGTGAGAACCAGTACTCTAGAGCAATTTGATTTCTCCTTGGCTTTCGAAATCTCCCGATATATACTCTAAGGCGTCCCAACTTGGTGGGAAGAAAAAGAGAAAATAGATCAGGTTTGTGGTCATTTCTTAAAATATTAAATATTTTGATTAAGTCTCCACTCCGCCTATAGTGTGATAAGGAGAAGAGATTCAAACTGTCCACTCTTTCCTCGTGTGATAAATTAGTCACGTCACCTTCCTTTGAACCCTTCCTAGAATATGTGAGTCCTGTCTAAGGCAAGGACTGGCTGCCTGTATCGATTTTTCCAGTCTTGACGTCACCAGAGACGTCATCGATCTTAAATTCGTTAAGGCTGTAGAGACCACCAATTCAAGCGTGGGCATTCCGGCTGCAATACCTGATGGTCCTACCCAATTAAATGACCCTTCCACCGGCGAGTCATCGACTTTCGACGCAGTGGCTCATATCACCAAGCTTTACGAGGAGATTTGTAGCATTAGACAAGAGGTGAGAGCCAGAAGTCAGTCTCACATTCGCACAACCCAATCTCTTAATAGGTCCTCCTCACGTACTGGCAATAGTCGCCCGAAGTCACGAAATCCCCGGCCTAGACTGTGCTGCCATTATAGACGTTACGGTACCAATGCCCAAAGTTCCACCCGCCCCTACAACTCTTACGCAAAGGAGTGCAAATGCTGTCACATTGCATGTCTTCCCCAACTGGGATTTGACACTTAATTCTTTTACAGCGTCATGTTGTTTCCCGCAGTAAGTGACATAAGAACACCACTAAAGACACTCTGTCCATGAAGGACGGAAAGGCACTTTCACCGCAGAAGAAGGAAGTCACCGCTAGTAAACCTGATCTCTTCGATAGGTTGCTCGTTCTCCAACGAGTGGAAGAATCACCGGCTTCCGATAGCAGGGTAGGCATCGAACATGACCTTAACTTGGTCATGATCTCTCTAGTTAATCTGTCGCTAACAACAGTACCAAGAGTAAGCATACGCAGCTTTTGTAGAATAGGCTAAAAGGCTGACTACAATAAATCAGTAAGTATACCTCATAGTCGTACCTAAGTCAAAACGAAGACAGGAATGCAACACTAAGCAACTTACAAACTCTTAAAGAATCAGGCGTATACGCCCGTTCTGACTTATGCCCAGCAGACCACCTCAAAAGACAATCTTATGCTACAGGATCAAGTGAAAGGCGAGAAAACCTTAAGATTAAGGGTTTTCAGGTTGTTAAAGTCAGACGTTTGATGACCCCGAAAACTCTGTCGGTAGGCCGCGAAATCACCAGATGTAAAGGAACTTATCTCTAAGTTCCTACTGTTACAAAGACGCTCAGCACCGATAAATACTTTGTCCATTCTTCGACTTTAACTGTTGGCGATGTTTTGGCAGCCAGCCATTCCAGGTTTGTTCACTGTACAAACATTTCAAGTCCCAATGTTTATCTTTGTTTTCTTCATGTGAAGACACACTCGTTGACCAACCTGTCAAAATCTTTCGCCACACCGCGTCAGTTCATTTCTCAGATTCCAGCGAAGGATAAGTTTGTTACCCTCTTGGCATTTTCAAATTTTCTTTGCGTATTGAAGTTCCTGTAGTAGTTTGATTAGTTTTGTGCGGTAGAGTCTCTAGCCCCTCGCTTAACCCAATCTCTTTTCTCTGGCTTAAAAGCTGGTGAAAAAATAACGGGCTATCAAACTAGACGAGGTTTGAAGTGTGAATGCGTCCACGTGAAGCCAGATTCCAGCAGATGTTTCGAGACCATTTTGCTTCTTATTGTCGTTTATCCAGCCCCTGAATCTTTCAGCGATCAAACTCATGGCCAAGTAAGCCAGCCACAGATTCCACAAATTTCAAGCTCTGGAGGAGGAAAGTGGATCGTGGAGGAGTCACTTCCTTTTTAGGAGGCTTAAGGAAGGAGCATAGTGATATTTCTGTAGAGTGTATTTTTCGAGGGGTTAGGGCTGGTAGCAATAATTTGTCAGCTTTTATTAACCAAGCGGATATTGATTGTTGGGCGCGCCTTTCGATTACTGCTCTACAATTGCTCAGTTACATAAAACTCTCATTTCTCGGGTATTTCTGACCAAGAAGCTTTGGAAATTATTGCAATTAGTTTACTTTCAAACACTAAACCTGTGGATATAATCCTGTTGACTGCTGATACCTATAATTAACTGTTTGGTATTTTGTGAACCTTTAACACTAACACATATCTATAATTGTATATATTGTTGGATTTACATGTTCAAGTTGGCATAAGTCAGTGAGTCTATGGTTTCGGTATCATTTAAGTTAACTATGCTTAACTGGGACGTTTCCATTGTTGTTGTCGCCTGTATATATCATAATGTAACTATATCATAATGTAACAGTCCCTCCCTATCTCAGGCGTAAGGCTAGCAACTCCACCCTGTAAACAAAGTTGCTACAGAAAATTCAGTCCGATGAATCTCCTTGCGCCAAAAGAAAAAGTCCGTGTGGGGACATGGAACGTCCGCACTATGTACGAGATCAGCAAAGCTGCCCAGATCGCAAGCGAAATCAAAAGATACGGAATACAAGTACTTAAAATATGTCAAAGCAGATGGAACAGGAATGGTCTCACCAAATTGACAACGGGTGAGTCAGCGATCTACTCCGGTCACCCAGAAGATAACCACATGCACACCGAAGGCGTGGCTATCATGATGTCACCAACGGCAACAAAGGCGCTGATGCGATAGGGGGCGGTCTCGATCAGGATAATGACCACCAGTTTCAACTCCAAAGGAAGGAAAGTGTCAATTATACAATGCCACGCACCCACAAAGAGCGCAGACCTCAAAAAGAAAGAAGAATTCTACAGAAAACTACAGGCAGCGATGGACAATAATCCAGCTGGTGACATTAAAATACTAATAGGGGACATGAACGCCAAACTGAGACCAGACAACACAGGAAGGGAACTCATTATCAGTAGCGACGCTCTCGAAAAAATAAATGAAAATGGAGAACTGTCAATGTGGTTGAAGAATGAACGATCAATTCATGGTTGTTTGCTCAAAACCAACTTCCCCGATTTTCGCGGAGGCATCAATACGACAGTCATCGTCTCATCGGTTGTTGTTCAGAAACAAGTCAGGAGACAACTGTCAGAAGTAATATTGTGATTCATCATTGTAATATTTGTTCACAGACCTTAGTTGTAACATTGTCTTTATGAAGGTGTTACAATAAAGAATCCTCGAGTCGCCAATTGGTGTTTTGGTTTTGCGTCCGTTATAACTAAGCGTTTCTGAGAAACCTCAAGGAACAGCGTGAGACCGAGTGCAGCAAGAGCTGGGCATTAACGG